CTGTATTTCTATTGTATTTTGTTATTACAAAATGCAATAGTGGTAGAGCGCTCACTTCATAAGCAAGAGGTTCCAAGTTCGATTCCCACCATGTCCCTGGTAGTACTTTGCTCAGCTTGTTTCTCCGCGCAGCGGCCTTGTTAATGTTCACTTCATTAACTAGGCCTTCAGCGGCCTTGTTAATGTTCACTTCAAGAGGTTCACTTCATAAGCAAGAGCGCTCACTTCATAAGCATAAGGTTCCAAGTTCGATTCCCACCATGTCCCTGGTAGTACTTTGCTCAGCTTGTTTCTCCGCGCAGCAGCCTTGTTAATCAAGGTTCATGTTTCAGAGTTATAGAGTTGAGAGAGGGTTATAACCACAAGTAGCCATCTGAAGTAGCCTTCTTGGCCTTGGGGAGGTAAATTACACTCAACATTTTTTGTTACATTCTATGCTAAATCTTTTTTCTTTGCCCCTTATTTACTTCTTTTGTAAACATAGTCAAGCAAGAACAAATTCTGTTTTTTTTTTTTTTTTTTTTTAATTTTTTAATCAGTTCTTTAACTAAATTAATGGCCCTCTCAGACAAATCATTGACCACATCATAGGATTAAATAGTAGATTTAAACTCATGATAAAAATTGTTGAACTTCCAGAACTGTGAAGGGAACTTAAGCAACTGCAAATCACACTTTCTATACCCAATCTTAACAAAGATGAGCCACGATTACTAAATTACTAGAGAACAAAAAAATGGAGGCTGAACTTGTGCAAAGTCTAGAAAGTGAAAAAGCTCTTTATCGATTATAACACATTTAAGTGGAGACATGTTTGATTCGACAAGAAGTGTATTATTCAATACTTTGGCATTAGCTTCTCTGTTTTGGCAACGTTAATCTGCTAAAGCACAACTAAGGCAGGATCAAGGTACCAGCTGTGTCTGTCACATGATTTTAATACTGAAGAAGATTTATATGAACCTCAGCATCTGCAACAGAGCTTTCATATCCTGTGCAATATTTTAACAATATTAGATTAAGTCATTAATCAAACAATTAACTAGTTATTTTTTATGGAGTATGGGACAGCAGTTACTAATACTGCTCTAAGCACCCAGTGAGTGTAAAAGATGTTCACAAACATAGCAATACTACGAATCTCTTCTATATTTTCTTCTGATAAATATGGAATGTTTTCCAATAGTAAATACATTTTAAGGTAATATAACACTTTTGCCATGTATCTAGCATAATGCAATAGACCAGGAACCTATTATCTATTACATCTCTGTAGAACTGTTCAGCCTCAAGCTCTTATTTATTCATCCAAGTTTCTGTTTGAGTTTGAATCCTCATTAATCGAATTGTGTCTTTTTCATTCCTGATAAATAATACATTTTTAAAGAGCTGGTTCTTTGGACCAGTTTTACTACTTGGATATATCATATTAAAGTGGGTAGTATGTCTTATACGCTATTCCCATTATAACTCATTGGCTTTCCGTTGGTGGAAGCAGTTGTATCAAAGCTTTATTTGATTGAAAAAATCTCATTGATTGGAGCCTGGGAACTACCAAAACCCAAAAATTTGTGCCCCCAGCCCCAATTGTGAGGGTATTAAGTTACAGAGTTAAATGCTAAATTATTCTTAAATAAATTTATATTTATCAACAAATTTCAAATTTCATTCAATAATATTTTAGTGTTTTTGTTTTTTTCATTCAATAATGTTTTAGTGTTTAGTTTTGGGGTTTTTGTAGTTCCAAGGCTCCAATCACTCTAATTTTTTTTAAAGCATCCTAATTTGATATAAGTATAAACATACCCACAGCGCCGGCCTTAGCTTTTTTGACAGGTTGGGCAAAACTTGTGAACGCGCCCCTAAGTATATATGGGTGGGTTGTTACCATTAACAACAAGACCAATGCTCTAAATGATGAACAAGAGTGCTAAAGGGAATATATAGTTTAATGCAAAGAGATCCTTATTGTGCATCAAGTTTCTTATTTAATTAATTTTTTATTAAAATTATAAATTTAGACTTTTCATGATATGAGTTTATAGAAATGAGTGAGTAAATAAATAAAAAACGCAACGCTGCTTTTAAAATAACAAATGTTTTTATTAAACATATAATAAATCCTCTAACTATATAAACAAGAGTTATTAAATTTTAAAATCTAACTTTTCTAGCTTTTTTGTCCGCCAAATCTCTTATCAAACTAGAAAAATCTAAATTTTCAGCTATATCTTGCTTGATTGATAACATAGATAGAGTTTTAAGTCGATCTTGCAACATGGTATTTCTTAACTATGTTTTGATTAACTTCAGTTTAGAAAAACTACGTTCTTCACTAGCAACAGTAACAGGTATTGTAAGAAGAATGCGCAGAACAATCCATGTATTTGAATATAACTTGTAGACAATGTTTTTTAATAAAATTAAGTACAAAAAGTGGTGTCATCTCTTTTGTATTTATTTCATTTTCAACATTGCTTAATTTATTTTTAATAAAAAACTGCACACTTATTAGTTCGTCGCATAGCAAAGCACCATCAATTTCTGATTTTGTATTTACAGTTAATTTTTCTTGTAATTGTTTACACAATTTAAAAAGTTCATTCTTGATGGGCAAATTATCCAAATTAAATAAAAAACTCCATATATTTACATATTCATTAAGTTGTTCAAATCTTTCATTTATTGACGACAGACATGTATCTAATAAAGGGTTTAAAAATGTCACTTCTAGTTTCTTCTCAGGATTTTGAATTGGTTCGTCAGCAGCATTTTCATCATAATGACGTTTCACTCGTCGTACTCTTTTAAGCGGCTTAAATATGCATCGATGGCATCGATGTTTAACTCTTCAGCTAACTCTTTGGCATCAACCGTTGCTTGTTTGAAGTCAAACGTCCTGTAAATTTCCAAAAATGTGATGCATTTTTTCAACACTGTACTAGATCCATGTCTTTGGCTTGCATTGCTTTACTAACAACGTTTATTTGGAATAGTACATTGTACCATGCAATTAAAGTTCTGCTCTGCTAATGTTTGTGCTTCGTGTGCAATATCGGGAGTTTTGGTTTCAGTTTCATATATAGTAATTAAAGCATCATGTACGCTGCTTATTTGGTATCGGATGGCTTTGAGGCTCTCAATTTTGGCTTCCCAACGAGTGTCGCATAATCGTTTAAGAGTGAAGTTTGTTGTATGACTAAGTAAAACATTCCAGCGTGAAGTTGATGCAAAAAATAATGTGATTAATTTTTGTATTATGCCAAAAATGTTAATGGAATTTAGTGAAGACTACGCTGCGTCACAAATAACCAAATTGAGAGAATAACTTCCACATGGAAGGTAAAAAGCCAAAGGATTCAAATCTAATATTCGCTTTTGTAGACCTATTTTTTTACCTTTCATATTTGCACCGTTATCGTAACCTTGCCCTCGACAAAAGCTTATATTCAGTCCAAAATCTCTAGTTGATGTATCATGCGCAACATTTTCTCCTTCCTTTATTTTATTACAATCACTATTTTCCGATGTAAAAAAATTTTCAAGTTTTTTATAATTTTTTTTCAAATTATCAACTTTTTCTGCTTTACGTTTTTTGTATTGAGCACCAGATGGTTTCTTATTATTATGAAATTTAAAAACATTTTTTTCTTTATTATGAGTACTCTCCATTGATTGCTGCTGACAGTTTCTATTTGTCTAAAACTTAAAAATAAAAAATTACTCGCAAGCTAATAATTCATAAACAATTTCATTATTTATACTTACCTGCTTTTTATTACCACAAAATTTGAAAACTTGACAAAAACTGAATTTGAATCACAAATACAACTTTAAATTTCTTCTACAAATTAATAAACAACGCGCTCGCAACTCGTACCAAAATTAATATTTAAAATTTAAACTTTAAATGAATGGAACGCAAAATAATTGGCGCCGAGAAAGATACAAGTAAAAAAATGAATTTAAGTAACAAAATATATGCTATGATTGAAACACTTTTAATCAAATTATTAATTTTGCATAAAGAATTTTCAACACTGCATACCCAAGTATGAAGTTTGCTCCATGTCTGCAAGTTATCTATTTCAATCACCAAAAAAAGTTGTCGCAATCCATGAAATAGGGAAAATCATTTTTATATATATATATATATATATATATATATATATATATATATATATATATATATATATATATATATATATATATATATATATATATATATATATATATATATATATATATATATATATATATATATATATGTATATATATATATGTATATATATATATATACATATATATATATATATATATATATATATATATATATATATATATATATATATATATATATATATATATATATATATATATATATATATATATATATATATATATATATATATATATATATATATATATATATTCAAAGGTCCCAACTGACCTTTGAATATTTAATTGGTCCCTAATATTATCTTACAAAATTTTTACAAAAAGTATTTCATATTATCTTACAAAATTATGTTAAATAAAAACTTTTTTAAAATTTCAAAAAAAGTTATTTTTTTTTAATAAAACTATTTCAGATTTTAGTACATAAAAACGATTCTTTTTTTAACATTTTTAAGAAAAAGTAAGTTTTTTAAGGGTTTTTTTTATAAATTGTTTCAAAAGTAAATTTTTGGTTTTTGAAAATTTTTTGTTAAATGTCAGTTAGGACCCTTAAAAATATTTTTTATTCAAAATTTTTTATATATATATATATATATATATATATATATATATATATATATATATATATATATATATATATATATATATATATATATATATATATATATATATATATATATATATATTATATATATATATATATATATATATATATATAATGCATGTATGTATGCAAGTTTGTATTTATGTATTTTGTATAAAAAAATATATTTTTTTATGCATGTTTGTATTTATGTATGTGTGTATAAAAAAATGTATACCTTGTGTTTTACTTTCAATTTGTAAATCCATAATGTTAGAAACAGTCTTTGCACTTATATTAAAGTTTTGTTGTGGGAAATCATAAGTTAAATTGAAGAAATTTGTTGTATCTACCACTATATTAATTAAATATCTGTTAGAAATAAACCTGGAGGATATATTGATTAAATAAGATTCTTTTTCTGATAAAGTATAGCTGGTACTATTGTAGGATGCAATTTCAAAATTCCATTTGCTACCTTTTTTTGTTAGGGTGAGTGTTGCAAAAACATTAACTTGATTAGATAAGTACAAAATATTATCATTATCCTCGCGCTTTAGTTGAAATGTAACCACAAACTCATCATAAATAACCTGCACTGCATATTTTGACATCAAATTGCATTCTGAATTTATAAATAACATAATATAATATAACAGTTATAAATAACAAACAATATACAAAGTAAACTAATACTTCTAAATACATTTAATACAAGTAAAGATCAAAGTAAAGAGAACATTTTGAATATAATTAGTTTTAATTTATTTTAATTTCACTTTTCAATTTACATAATTTTATTTAATTAATTCACATTTTTTACTTTGTAAGTTATATTATTCAAATTATTTAGTTGTTATGAAAACTTGTGTTTTTACTATTTATGCATGTTACCTTATCAGGTATGTTTATTATGTATGTTTCCATATTATTATCATTATTATTATAATTTTAAAAAGTTTAAAAATTGGGTTCATATAGAAATAAATGCCTGTCAGACTGTAATACAAATATATTATGTATGTGATATATTTCTTAATCTTTAATCATAAATGATTATTTCTTTTTTTAAAAAATTGTCTAGTTTGTTTTTAAAATTACTTAATGATGATGCATTTAAAACGCTATCTTTGAAGGAGATCCATTTGTTTCCTACTTGTAAAGTGAAAAAGTTTTGACGAGAAGCCAATCGAAAACAAGGTTTTTCTAGTTTGAATAAATTTAATAGTTGGTAATATTATTTGGAAATATCGTTTGACAGTTAAAGCAGTTTTTCATCCATTTATAGAATCTCTTTATCATTTATAGAATCTAAGCCATTTACTAAATCTTCATTTATCTCTAATTTTTTATAATCTTGTAAGACTGTAATCCATAATTAATTTAGATGCTCTTCTGAGTACTTTTTCTACTCGTCATTTGTCTTTAAACAGACCAGGGTTATATAGAGATACCACAATATTCTAAATAGGGTCAAACTAGTACTAAAGATATTCGTTTAAAACATAATAAATTTAGATAAGAGGAAATTATGTATCTATTTCTATTATTTTTCATGTATATTACTATTGTTAAGTTACATGTCCTATTATTTAGTTTTTAGTATTATTAACACTCATAACAGATTACACCTTTACACTCTAACCAACCTAAAAGGTAGAATGGTTAAAGTATCAAACTTTAATTCAGAGGTCTGGAGTTTAAATTTTGCTCTTGCAACAAAAGTATCATTGATGATTATAAAAACTGAGTGCCTAATTATGTAATATTGTCAGCCAAGAACCAAAAGGCCATAAATCTGTTTTTTGTGTTTCCGAGAAAATCAAGTGTTGAAATTTGATTTGTAAAGGCTTTCTGCCAGAATGTACAACTAATTTTTAAATATTTTTAAAAAATTTATCATTCTTGAGACTAGATTTATTGGATACATACTCTGTTGATTGTTGAATATTTATTGATAGTAAACAGAAAAAACACAAAATGAGGACATACAGCGTCTTGCTTCTCGGCTGACAATATGTTAATTATAACAATTAATTAAAGTTTATGTGTACCTTTTTACCATCTTCATGAAAACAGTTTCTAAAATATATAACCTTATAGAGTAAATTTGCCAATTGTTGGTCATTAACCATTTACTAGTTTACTGGTCACTCGTTAAACTTTTCTTCTCAGAAAGCAGTGGCCCTAGTTGCTAACTACATAAATATTTAAACTCAGTTTATAAAACTATGTAAATAACACAATTTCTTAAAATATCTAGAAATTTTTAATCAGTAAAACAATTTGTGAAAAACATTTTTGCTTTGTTTTGGTAAATTTTTACTTCACAATAAATTTATTTACTGTATAACAATTATTGTAAAGTAATATTATTGTAATATAAAAATACTGTATTGTAATACCAGTGAAGTAAACAATACTTATATATTATTGTATTGTGTTATATATTATTGTAATGTTTTGCTGTGATAAAAAAGCAATTACAAAAACTACATGTGAACTACTTTTATTTTGCAACAATTTTTCTACATTTTAAATTACTCGTCACCTATCGGGTTTGTTTTTTAAAAAATGAGGTAATTTAGAATACCAAATAAGTATTGTTCTTAATTTTTGTTACAAAATTTGCACAAAAACAAAGGACAATTGGTACAAAACCGGTGGATTGCACTAAAAAATCCTCTTCATGGCTTGAGCAACCCTATCTTGGTGTTTAACTTTAAACTCTAAATGTCAGCAAAATATTGCCTGTTTGATGACAGCATTACTAATATACAAAATAACAATAAATTATTTTATTCAGTATACTAAATAGTAGTAGCATAAATCATAAAGTTTAATAAAGTGACACATTGTTTTAAGGGTACATGGCCTGGCAACTGAACAAGTAAAACATTTTTAACTTTAAACATAACAATTAAATAATGTTAGTGTATTATATAATATTCAAAAAAAAATGAAGATGAAGAATCTATGGAGGGGTTTTAACAATTTAACAAGCAACCTATTGTCGCTGAATGAAGAATTACAAAATAAAAAAATAAAAAGAAAAGTTGGGCAAAAAATGAAGATGCCAAGTTTTGACTCTTTTGACTTTGACAAATTATTGAAGAATAGTTTATAATAATCTAAATATAATAATAATAATATAAATAGAATAATAATCTGCCTATAAAATTAACAAAGTATCAGGCAAGCTTCTTAGTATAACATAAAATAACTTGATAATAATTACGCCAAGTTTTTTCACCTGCTGGCAATATAAACAGTCCTTTGAGAAGTAGATTGGGATACACTTTGAGTTGTGTTTGTTTATTAAAGTTGCATATCTTGCAATGATTTTCTCATATTTGATATTTAAAACAATAAGTTACGTTTATGTTTTTTGTATTTTTGTTTTATACTTTTTGTAAAGTGTAATTATATTTTATGATTGTTAATCATTGATTTGCGTTAATTGTAAATAGTTGTATATAATATAAAGTCATAGTTGTAAATACCAAGAGAATATGATTGTATATATGACTGAATATGACTGTATTTTGCGTCATAGTTGTAAATACCAAGAGAATATGATTGTATATAAATTATGTTGAGTTGCATTAAAATACATGAGGCGTTTAACGCTAAACTTATTAAGTCGATTTTGATGTGAAACAACAAGCTATTTTGGCTAAAATGTCGACTAAAATTGATTTAAAGTTAATTCCAGAGTTTAGCGGAAACGATCAACAATTAGTTGCAGAATGTCTGGAAAAAGTGGAACTAGTATTCAGACTAAATGGTGTAACCAATCTGGCGAGTGTTATTCCCCTCCGTCTCACAAGTGGTGCATTTGCAGTATATCAACAGTTAGCAGAAAGTGATAAAGAAGGTTTTGACCGGATAAAAGACGCGTTGCTAAAAGCTTTTGCTGTTGATGCATTTACAGCTTATGAACAATTCATTACAAGGAAGTTAAAGCATGGAGAGGCAGTTGATGTTTATTTGGCGGAACTGCGGAGACTATCTACGCTGATTGGTGGGTTACCAGACAGAGCTATTGCATGTGCCTTCGTTTCTGGGCTTCCTGAGGAAGTTCTACGGATGCTGAGATTAAGTTTTCGTATAGATGACTACTTGCCTGAGCAAATACTTACAAATACTTGCCTGAGCAAGAGCACTCATGATTGAAGAAGGAAACGATGGAACAAATGAAAATTTTGCTGCTGCTGCAACAAAAAGACGTGCTGAGTTGAGGTTGCTTGAAGATCAAACACAGCCAGTTTGTTATGAATGTAAACTCCTCAATTGTTTTTCAAGAGATGTCTTTGATTGCTATGTAGACATAGCAATCGAAACAAGTTGGGTCGGAGACAGGAGACAAGCGATGTTTTGTGTTACTCGTGTCAAGAGAAAGGACACATATCAAGAATGTGTCCAAAAAACGTGCCCAGGGAGAAGATGTTTGCGCCAGCTCTCTCCCCAAACAATCAATAATTGCGTTACCTACTATACGCTTGGACATTAACAACGTTCTTCGTGATGTGTTGATTGATTCTGGATGTACCTGCTGTATCATTTATAAACAATGTGCACCAAAAATTATGAAGAAAGTAGTTAGCATGGTGACTGTAAATAGACAACAACAACAGTGCGAAGGCGTTAACCGAACTCAAATCGTCACGCTAAATGGGAATGAAGTTTTTGTTGAAGCACTTCAATATCTGCAACTTGTGATGTTTGTTTTATGGGAAGAAACAAATCATGTTTACTTGGAATAAGAAGTGATATGCCAAAAGATGTTAGTTATTTGAATATAACAGCTTGAGATTTCACAGCTTCGTTTGAAAAACAAAATCGAGAATGGATAATTGCGCAGAAATGGAATAATAACTCCCAACCTGAAACTTTAGTGAACACAATTGCTGAATACACTATCTCTGTTGGCATAAAACATGATTAAAAAAAGAAATTGAAGGATTGATAGGGAAAAAATGGCTGCAAAAGTACAATTTGAAGAAACACGGTCCAATAAAAGGTTTAGTTCCTCTCATGGCAGCCGTACAGCGAAATAAAGGAAAAGTACAACCAGTATTGGACTTCAGGGAGCTCAACAGGTTTATTGAAGCATTCACTGCGAACACAGATGCGTGTGCTGACAAACTTCGAGATTGGAGACGGTTTGGAGAAAATATAAAAACTGAAAAACTGATGAAAAACTTTGAGCTTACCAAACTGTTGTGTTCCGTGGAAAAAGATTTTGTTTAACATGTTTAAGATTCAGACTAAACATTGCGCCTGTCATAATGAAAGCGGTGTTGGACAAAGTGCTATCGTAAGACGAAACAATCTGGAAAGGAATGTCATCATACATTGATGATATTTTTGTGATTGAAAACACAATACCTGTTTGTCGCGTACTTGATCATTTAGAAACCTATGGGCTTCATTGCAAGCCGGTGGTCTGCATATCCGATAGAGCAAGAGTTCTTGGTCTACAAGTCGGAATGAAAAATAAAAAGTTGTGTTGGAGAAGAGATAATGATTTTGGTCAAATTCCGAAATCACTAACAAGACATAACATCTTTTCTTTGTGCAGAAAAATGACGGGAAATCTTCCAGTTTGTGGTTGTTTGCGTG